CTTCCGTTTTTTTTTTATTTTTTTTTTATCTTTTAGAAAAAAAAAACAACAACATACAATCACATCTAAACAACAGAAAAGTCATTTGGTCACCTATACATTCTTACATAAACATATTGATGGAAGTATAGCTCAGATGATACAGCAGACAATAGCCGTGTCATAGAGTCAAACACAATCCATTTTTCCCAATACTGTAAGTATTTATCCATCGTTAAGTTTAATGCGAACGTCATCCTCTCCATGTTTTGGACACTGTTCACAATCACAACTTCTGTTTTACTGTATTTTTGATCAATTAAATATAGCCTTGGTGAGCATAAGAAAAATGACCAATAAATAAAATAAATAAATAATAACTTTTGAACTGTAGTGTATTCATAAAATTATTCTGAGGTGTATAAATTTATAATACAGTGAATTCAAAAAGTACAAAAATGCTGCAATATATTTAGTATACTACTCATAATATTTAGTTGCAGAATGCAGTAGTGCAGTATTCAAAAAAGTGTACAAAATATAACTAGAGCACACTACAATTCCCATATTGTATTGTATCCCACAATACAATGCACTAAGCTTAACATTAGTGAAGAAGCAGCATTATGGGACAAAAGTTAAGTTAATATATCCCAACATCAGGAAAAAAAAATCTAAATCAATGTCAAAACTATGAACTAAACTCCACCCCCAAAATTGTACAAGTAAAGATGTAAAGTATTCTACAGTTTAAAATGTTTATCGTTACATACCGTACACTGGATTTCAGTATTTGCAGTGTAAGCAATTTGCTAATATTCCATTCCATCTCTTAACACTTCAGCAGTCAGCAATTCTGCGCTCTCTTAAGCACAGCTATTAAACCAAGGAGGTGCGTGGGGCTCGTTTCTGCTCCAAACGATCAGAAATAGCATCAGTCAGGGGATTTCACCAAGTGTACACTGACATTATACAACGCAACGGGTACAATTAGCACAGTGCTTATGGGCTGCAAAGGTGATAAGTGGCTTTCTTTCTCTCTCTCACACAGTTACTATCAGCACCTCTGTCAGACAGCCCTAATCACCGACTCGCTCTACAGATGACTGCTCATTCATCTGCTCTCAAAAATTAGATTAAGAACCAAATTCAAAGGTGAAGTGTGGAATTCCTAGCGACACCAAAAAGAATAGAGTGCTGTAGTGATTACATATGTTTGACAACAATCACCCTGGTTCCCTTGACAAAAACCAAATCCGATTTTTTTCCATTGGATTTGGATTTTTTGCAGAAAATAAGCTCTGTGAATAATAAACGTTTACAATTCTTACACATTTTGTTCATCACGATAATCTTCACAAATGAACAGCTTTTATGAAAAAATAAATAAATAAACATGGCTAAACGTAGTTTTTCACAGTCTTTTTTTTTTTTTTACATTTTCCCTGTTTGGAAGTAGAAGTGCTAAAATTCACTTGTTTCTTGGTTTCCTTAAAAAAATTTACACATTTTGTTCATCACGATAATCTTCACAAATGAACAGCTTTTATGAAAAAATAAATAAATAAACACGGCTAAACGTAGTTTTTCACAGTCTTTTTTTTTTTTTACATTTTCCCTGTTTGGAAGTAGAAGTGCTAAAATTCACTTGTTTCTTGGTTTCCTTAAAAAAAAATTTTTGGGTAATCAACATCATGCCATGAAATGCTGTCAACTTGTGAATGTGGAATATTCCTTTAACAGTGAAATAAATCCCACATATCAGAAATCAAACAGCAAGAGCAGAGCCAGTGGAAGCATTACTGAACAAGGAGCAAAATAGAAGCTCAGGAAAAGATGGAACGATGCAGTCAAGTGTAAGGAGAAAACAGAGGTGGGAAAGGGCCACTGCATACCCAATATAGCTGCAGCGCCATTAAAACAGTCTACATCCAATGCTATGACAGACTATGGTGGACACTGGGTGCATTAACGACAGCACACAAACAGCACACTCCTGATTAAATAATGCAACTGGCTCTAACTGTACACTCGTTGCATAGAAGTGAGTGCTGAAGAGGCAGATGAGAGACTCGCTCTTCACTGAGAAGGCAGCATTGTCAAAGGGGAAAATTCAGCGGCTGTTGACTATCGATCTGTTGATCTTTCGTGCACTGAACCCTCGCACCTCAGTTCTCTGCATGCAGATCTAAGCTGAATCACGGCCTTTATGGAGATATTTTTACCGCAGCATGATTAACAAAGGCATAACATCTTCAAACTAAAGATTAAAACGCTGCAAAGCTACTGTACCAGCTATAAAATACCTCAAAACAAAATATCTGCTGTGCACTTTGCAAAATTTAAGATGTACTTGTATAAAGACCTGTATCTAGCATGACTTTTATGAATTGTTAAACATTTCCCAATGACTGTTTGCTAATGCAAATTAAATAAAAATAAGAAATATTAGAACAGAAACAGAAATAGATTTGGAGAAATGTAGCATTACATCACTTGCTTTTCAGCAGTGAATGGGTGCCGTCAGAATGAGAGTTTAAACAGCTGATTAAAACATCACAATAATCCACAAGTAATCCACACGACTCGAGTATTGTGAAGTAAAAGCTGCTTGTTTGTAATAAATTCATCATTAAGGGGCTTTTCAAACTCTCATTCTGACGGCACCCATTCACTGCAGTGGATCCTGAGACTGAGGGTAAGACATTTTTTGGGTAAAGGATTCCTTTAATCACAATATTGAATTTATATTGAAACTACTGATTTTAGATTTAATTTTGATTTCTTTTAAGCAAAACTGTAAAGATGTTTAATACTGGCCCTTTATCAGTTATCAACCACAGCATAAAAATAATTATGAGTTTATCAGTAATGGCCAGAATTTTAATATCAGTGCATCCCTAGATGTTTGTGTACTTTTACCAGCATTTTCACAACTTAGCACTACAAACCAGCCGGCAGGATTTGATTTGCACTGTGAAAATGGTTTCAACACAAATCTGCACTATTAGCTGATCTGCATAATTCCTTTAGCGAATCTGGTTTTATTTTCAGACAAGAATATTTTTTCCTAAGCTCTATAAAGTCACAAAAACAAAACAAAGCATGCATTACAGATATGAGGCTTTGCATAATATCAGTGTAATAAGTAATTAAGATAACACATGGTGTCATAAATATTGTAACCTTACAGGCTTGAAGATTCATCCATAATGCATTCATCTCTATGGTGGGGTCTAAAAATAAGGCTCTTTCCTAGCGGTAATAATTCATTGTGGATTCTGTCTCTTTATGTTAACAGACAGCTCTTTTCCAGACTGATGGCCCCTGGCTTGAAAGGACAATACTGTTGGGGAACTATTCAAATGAGTGACATTTCAAGGAAGAAAAAAATGCTGGATGCACCAAGAAATGTCAAGCTTTGGTATTTTTGTTAATTGGACAAATTCTTGTTCTCTCTCTCTCGATCTACACACACAATATCCCTGGCCTGGTGAGATCTCTTGTAAATGTCTTTCATCACAGTAGTTCCGGCACCTTCTCAAGCAACAGCTGTGAGGACAGTTCTGTGCTATTGAACTGTAAAGATGGCAAGGGGTATCACAAGGCTGACTGTTGAGAATGCCACACGACTGCTCAATAATTTGTTTACTCCTCAGCAGCATTCATCCTGACTGCTGGCTAAGCTATAGTCTTCTGTTTTCCAGTTTGTGTTTTGGGGCCCAGAATTTCCTAATGGTTTCCTGCCTCCTAGTGTGCTAGAATAGCCATACTCCTCCGTTGAAAGCAACTACAATTGAGATTAATAAATAATTCACACACTGAAAATTGCTGGTGGTTTTTATGGGATGAATAAAACTTTATGAATGATTTTACATCTGTAAAAAATTGTTTACATTTGTAATGTGGTTTTTGCCACTTATTAGCAGATCAAGTTCTGATGCCAGCTGGTTGACATGCTAAACTAGCTTGGACAGAATACTAGAGCAATTCAAATGTTTGGGATCAGTAAGATTTAACAAAAAAATAATAATATTTTGCAAGAATGCACTAAATTGATCAAAAGTTACAGTACAAAGATTTACAATGCTGTTCTTTTGACTTCTTTTGAATCATAGAATCCTGACTACAGTTTCCACAAAAAAATTAAGCAGCCAAACTGACTCCAACATTGATAATACAAATAAATGTTTCTTGAGCACCAAATCAGCGGGCCAATTAAAAATCAGGAATACAAACCACGTCTGCCACCAACAGCACACAAACAAACAGGCAAACACAAACTCACACAAGCAAACACATGCACGATATAAGAGTTTACTGACCACCAGGCTTCCCAGTAAACTCATAATACACGGCGTTATGGATTATTAGGCTGAAAATATCTTATAATGCTTTAAAAAAATTTGCATAGAAAATATAATTATTCTACAGCTTTCAGACAGCACTTATAAAATTGGGTTACATCCATTTTTGATGGCATTAGAAAAAAACACTATTTAATAATAAATTGTTATTAATCTTACATTTAAAAGCAATTAAGTCAAGTAAATGACTTTAGTAGTACATTTCCAAAAGGCCTCTAGCACTATCAAAAATTAACTGGAAAAAGGAAAATCGCTTTATTGCTCATTTCTTCCCTCCCCTTGCTTCTCTTGAGTCTTCTGTTAATTTCTAGGCTCAGCAAAATTAGTTTAGTGTTCAGTGCAAACAATTCAAACCATCCCTTACTGAAGTGAAATTTATTTTCTTCAAAAATGTCAATTATTTACTCTACTGATTGCAGCTCAATCAGATCAACAGTGCATACAGGAAAATATCTTGCTATTTCTGCGGGCAGCCACGAAAGATATTTCACTGCAGCTAAAAATAGCCCGGTGGTACATTTTATCCGTTATTTCCGTGCATCATTACTTTGTTTTGATTCGATCTGCAATTAAATGAAGCACTCTGGGATTATGTGCACTGTTGCTGCTCACCATGGAAACCGGAGTTAATTCAATATGTGAAGGTTGCTTAAATCAGTGCAACACTTCTACAAAGCACATAGCAACACCAGACTGATGGCAGGGTGATGCAGGTCTGTTATCTGTAACCAGTAATCTGTGGAGAGGGGGGGGGAGAACGAAAACGAAGTCAGGTGATATCCATTCTCTATCGTGATGGCAAGCCCACTGCAAACAGATCTAAATTAATTTCTATAAATAGACTTTCTGAGAAAAGAGGGGTCTTGGACCTCTCCTGTAATGACATACTGGTGCTAGGAGAGGGGCAACAATTATTTCTGAGCAAATGTTGACTCTGCCATGCATTGGAGCATATTAACGTCTGGCATAGTTTTGAAACGTTATATAAAACACTGTTTGAGACTAGATTATTAAATTAGGTCTTTTTAAGACTATATTTCAACTTAGCATTTCATTAAAGCAATATAGTTCACCCAAAAATGAAAATTTACCAAAATTACTAAAAAATGTATTCATTGTAGTTTGCTTCTGAATAGGTTTGAAGATATTTAGTATTACATCACTAATGGATCCTCTGCAGTGAATGGATGCCATCAGAATGATAGTCTAAACAGCTGATAAAAACATCACAATAATAGACTCTAGTCTATCAATTAATGTCTTGTGAAGAGAAAAGCTGAGTGTTTATAATAAACAAATCCATCAAGACATTTTTAACTTCCAACCGTTGCTTCTGGAGTCCATAATACCCATAATATTTATTTTTCCAATGAACGAATCATCTCGCCTGAATCAGGAGAAAGAAATAACCAAAACAGTTCTAAGCAAATATGCTGGTGGATTTTGATGAAAGAGGACTACAGGGAAAATCTAAATCTATGGTATTGCTCTCACTGAACGGTCACTGTGGATTTTCAACCATCTGCAAACATTCATGTTTCCTCTCTCTCTCTCTTCATTTCTCTCTATATATATCTAACTCGCTCTCTGCACAGACCTTCTTACAAATGATAAATACCCTCTATAAGCACTAACAGCACTCTTGGGGGCTTCAGTCTGTCCCTCTGTTACTCTAAACACAGTAATTCAATGTCTTCTGAATGTCTGCCAGATACATTTTTTACAGTGTACTCACATTCCATTAGGTCGTAAATGTATCTGGTGTCAGGGTTGCCATGGTAACCAGGGTCCTGGGCCTTGTTCACAGACAACTTGGAACCCAGTATGTTTATTGGGTGAGGGGTCTGTGAATGTTTGTTAATCTAATGAATAATTGATTTGTTAAATCAAATGAAAAATGGTGTGTCTGATTGGTCCAGACGCTACAGGATGAACATTTTCACTGGAGGAAGTGTTATTTTAGATTATGAGCTCATATTTTGGTCAGAACGATGGTTTGAAGTTAAAATGCCTTAATGATGGATTTGTTTCTCACAACACACATCTTTTCACTTCATAAGATGTTAACTGATGGACTAGTTGTGTGGATTATTGTGTTTTTTTTATAACACTGTGTAACCTTCTTATAACAACTGTTTGCACTTCTGACGGCACCCATTCACTGCAGAAGATCTATTAGTGAGCAAGTTATGTAATGCTACATTTCTTAAAATCTATTCTGATGAAGAAACAAACTCATCTACAATCCTGGATGGCCTGAGGATAAGCAAACATTCAGCAAATTTTATTTTTTAGTGAACTATTCCTAGCCTCCCTAAGTGAAGTACTTTGAGATCTGGATCCCTTCTACAAGTTATTATTATCCATTTCCCAAGTCTGCTTTACAACTAATCACCAAATAACAAAACCGCAAGTGTAGACCACATGTACCTCAAGGCGGCGGAGCCATTGCTCAGTTTTGACAGAGGTTTAATGCGGTGAGCAGGCAGGCAGTCGTAAAGAAGCTGTGATTTGTCAGCGCAAAGGTTATTCTGTCACCCCTCCTTCCCCCTAAAACACATAAGGGAACAGACAGGTTGACGTTAATGTTGTCTCTATTCTCCCTGGATTAGAGAGTCAGTCCGGCAGGAGCAGAAATAAATAACCTACAGCACTAATGCAGGTGGCTAATTCTGTGTGTGCAGAGGAGGAGGTAATACAGCACCTGACATTTATCAGCTATTCTGAGACAAGAAACGAAAAAGACGGTTGGCAGAGGGAATGAGCTCTTTAAAGACAATTTCAGCTGATTTCTGCCTTACACCATCGGTTGAGTGGGAAAACAAAAAGGCACTGGGAAAAGAATATTGTGTAAAGCGCAAGTGTCGTACCTTAGCATGATGGGCTGAGGGCTTTGGTAGATGTCTGCATGCATTATTGTGCAAACCCAGCGATGAACATCTCCATCAGTATGGAGAGCAGTCAATCAGCTCCATGAGCGTCATGCAGCCTTCATATTTTAATCAGGCAATTAGCCAGCCAGCTAAACTCCTCCATGCTCTCAGAGTTGAGGAGGTGCATATCAATTCTTCCCCTGTGAGTGATCCATGCTTTTCTGCGTTCATTATCCAATATGGTGAAAAACACTCCAGTCACAATCAATCATGCACACACGCACAAGATAAAGATATATTAGTAAAGACACAGCTTTGACAGAAATGGTTTTCATATATATTATGATATATAGTATACAACAATACACAATTGCCCATTCAATTTAATTCAGTTCTGCTCTCAAGTCGATTCCTATTTCGATTTAATTTCATTCGATTACAGTTCATTCGGCACATTTTAATTACCTATGAAATAATTCTCTCTCAACTTTTTCTGCAGCAGATCTTCTAAAATGTTGCCTTATGAAAATATTAAAATTAACAACAGGTCCCAAAATATGCAGTTCAACTGCAGCCAGTTCATTCAGTCAAAGATTCAGATTAATTAAAACAGTAACAGTAAGTTTGTGAGACTTTTTGAATAATTTATTAATAGGGTCGATTCAAAAGAATCATTTGTTTGTGAATCGTTTAGGCTGGAAGAGTCATTTGTTATGACTGACTAAAAAGTATCGGTTCATAAGAGCCAATTGTTTGTGAACAGAACTGCACTGATTGCACTTTATGTTATTGATTCACAAAAGAGACTTTGTTTGTAAATTGGACTGCATAAATCACACTGTTTTTTAACTATGTGCAAAACACTAGGAGGACAAGATAAAAATGTGTGTTCTTGGTCTACTTTTAATTGATCACAGTTAGTTGACTTTTAACATGGGAATATATTCACAAGCCTCTAGATTCAGGGTGTGACGCTGCTTAAAACCCTAAAGGGTTTTTAAGAATTTATATCCAGATCATTCAAATAAAGTTTGCGACTAGACCCAGCTCTGAATATTGACTATATAACACCCCTAAACCTAACCCTCACAAAAATCAGGTAAAGAAACACAAATACAGGAGTACATACTTGCTTCGATACAGTCAATATAATAGGACCACAGCACATTTGCTGTCAAACTGTCTCTAAAGGTCACGATTTAGGAGAGAAGCGAGCCCAAAAGAAAGGTGAACTTGTCTCAATCTCCAGTGCCTCTTTCTTGTTCTCAGCCAGATGCTTCCTCCGCTTGTCTTTTCTCTGACGCTAATGACATTTGTCTCAGCAGATACACACTAATAAGAACAAAACACTACAGAAATACCACTCAGCTTTACTGTCTAATCCCCTTTATTCCTGCTTATTAAAAAAAATTAAATATAAAAAAAATTACTTGCCTTCAGAATACAGTCAGGATGTTAACTGCAGTCTTTTATGTGAATGCCACAATACTCATCGATGAAATGCTATTAATCTTTGCAGATAAACTAACTATACTCAAAACAAAGTTCTTGAAGCCGGTTTATGTATTTCATATAAAGGCCCAAAACATATAATGACCAAACAACTTGGCTCAACTAAAGGCAATACTTTGAGGCAGGGCTATATTTTTGCTCGACCAATGGCAGACAGGGAGTGTGTATCAAGAAACCTGTTTAGAAACAGTCATTATTTGTACATATCCAGTAGGTGGTGCCAGTGGTGCACAAATTCCACTTATTATCTTTGAAAATAAATGTATAATTTAATGTTTTATATTGTTTTAATGCCTTATGGTATAGCCAGGAATAGATAAGTATTATAATTTATTATAATTGTGGTTACATACATTTGTGAAAATGAATGTTTTATAATGCAACTTTATTATTATTATTATTATTATTATTAATAATAATAATAATGTTTAATTAATAAGCACCTTTCCCAAGCTCAAGATCATTAACATAGCAACGATATGCAAAAAACTAAAAAAATATAAAAAAATTATCCTCAAAAATTCATAAACCTGATTACTTTTATTATTATTGTAAGGTATGGTAAAAAAAAATGCTTTGGAATACCAATACATGTAAATCTCATAATCTAAAAGATCCCTCCAATTTTAGCAACAGTATCTTAGATTAGATTAGTTCCTCCGACTGACGTATATGGACAAATATCATTTGTAATATTCCATATTCTCTATGGTTGCAAATAAAGGAATAACAGGATCAATCTCTAAACATTTTCAGGAATGAGCCTTTGAGTGTTTTCAGAAGAAATCGAATGGTTGAAGTGGAAGATATATTGCACTTAAAATGTCATCCACCACATTGCGAGCACTCAGAGAGCAGAGATACATAGCACGTACTGAGACGGCGGGCACAGGTCTTATCTGCAGCACAGCTAGCATTGTTCCTCTTCAATCATTACCTGTTGCTCCTAACAATAAACTTCATTGAGCCTTGACTTTAATTTTATGGGATTCTCGAAGCACAGCTGCCCCTTCACTGTTTCTTCTGATGGCCAGCAGGGAGGAGGTCACAGATTTTTTTTTACACTGATTTTTTGTTTCAGTCATACAGTTTAAAAGTCAACATGTAGAGGTTTCATATTCATGAAAAAATATAACTTTAGTTCACAATGTGAAAAACGTGACAAATGGTAACCAAACTTTCAAAACATTTTTGAAAAATTTATAAATATCATGTATCAAACATAAAATATTGTGAAAACTGTTCTTCACTGTAATATACACTACCAGTCAGAAGTTTTTGGACAGCAAGATTTTTATTGTTTTTTATCAGCCCTGCATTTATTCGATCCAAAATACAGCAAAAACAGTAA